CTAGAGGTCTCACAGCTTCCAGTCCTCCTGCTGGGCTTTAGCTGCCCTATTTCTCCCAGCATCTGTCACTATTGCATTCCAGGGCTACAGGGCCCTTCTGAAGGTGTGTCTGCAGCTCTCCGGAGAGCTGGACCCCCATTGGGTGTGGTTATGCCTGAGGCTCCATGGTCTTTATTCCTTAGTAACTGTTTTGGTTCTCTAGTGCTGCTGTAACAGAAGTACCACAAGTGGATGGCTTTAACAAGCAGGGATTTATTCTCTTTCATTTTAAGATGCTAGGAGTCCTAGTTCAGAGTGCCAGCTCTAGGGGCTGGGTGAAAACCCCTTGATCTTGGCCTCCAGCTCTGTCTCTTGCTTCTGGCCCACTGAAGCTAGAGGCTTCTCTTAACTCGGGACAGCTGCTGGCTGCTGAGGCTGACAAACCCAAGGTCGACAGATAAAATGGCACAGCCCCCAAATTATCAAGCAACATGACAGGCCACTAGTTCAAGTCCAGAAACAGTCTCAAGATCAGCAGACAACATGGCAGTCCACTCATTGATGACTCAGCCAAATGTAGGATCCAGATGTGCCAAGAAGCTCCAAACCTTCTTCAAAGTGGATTCTTATACACTGGGAGCAGACCACATTCCTAAGGCAGCAACTCAGCTGCTCACAGTAGATTGCACCATGGAGCTGATTACCAGTCTCATTATGGGGAGTAACACCATCCAGCTCCCAGCTACTCAAGACCAGGTCCGGCCAAGCTAACATACAACTTAACTATCACAGTAACTGTGGCAGGATCTCCACATAGCACCAGCATGATTGTCCCCAAGTAACTTCAGAGGTCCTTGTGACCCTTTCTTGAACACAAAGGGCTAAAGACTCTTCCATAACCACCCCTATGCTCACAGTCTTCTAAGCTTTATCCTCTGGGATAAAGGAAATCCATGTAGTATTCCTGTTTTTTAGATAAGAAAATAGGGGCCCAAGGAGGGCCAGTAACTTGTTCAAGGTGAGCCTGTGAGGAGAGCACTGAGCCAGGACTCACCCCACTGAGCCCATCGCTTCTCCCTCTTCACTCCCCGAGACCAGGCTGTTCTGCCTCAGCATTCAGAATTGGCCTCACCTGCTCACCATCGTCTCCCACTGCTTCCAGTGCCCACTCCTAGCATCTCTGTTCCCCATCTGCTGCAAATCCCACTCCTCAGCCTCTGTTCCCCTCCCCCTGCAGCATTCTTCTCTTTCCTCTCCCTTGAGTCTATCCCCAAGCCATCTCAGTGGGTGCAGTCCCACAGCCTTCATTCTACTCTTCCTTTCCAGCATGGCCCTTTATTAGTGTTGCAGTGCCTAAGGCATCTGACTGCTAACCAGAAGGCTGGAGGGTCAAGCCCACCAGCCACTCCTTGGAAACCCAAGGAAGGGTCTCTATGAGTCGAATCAACTTGACCGCAGTGAGTTTGTTTTTTGTTTTTTTTTTTAAACACATCTTCTTTGGGTCTTCATTCGGCCCCATCACCAGGTCCAGCTCGGGAGGAGAAAATGGAATGAAGCTCAGAGCTATCGGTGGTTTGTCCAAGGTTGGACAGCTGGTCTGTGCTTTCTTGTCTACCCTACATTGTTTACTGGGTCCTAACTCAGACCATCTTACTTCTGCTGGACTCTTAGCCCCCCAAGGGCAAGGACTAGCCCACTCACCATATGCTCAGCACAGCGCTTAGCCCATAGTAGGGCTCCCTCAGCATTTGTCATTAACAGGGTCCAATGGCTCCTCTTGTCTCTCTGTCCTTAGTCAGGAACCATGCTGCAGATTGCTTTCATCACCTCCAGCGTGCCTGATGTGTTCTGTGAACCTACTAGGTAGTCCACAAATACAAGTTCAGTGAGAGGGAGAGGGGGCCATTAGCCATATATACACACGGCTTTATGCATCAACAGTGCATTTTCCTGGGATCCTCTGAATATTCTTGTATTCTTGTCTTCCAGAATTTTCTTTCAGCTCCCTGCACGTCTTGAGTCTTAAGATCTTACTGAAATTCACACTGAAGAATTGAAGACAATTTCCAGTTGTAGAATCCAAAAGTGAGGAAACTGAGGCCCAGAGAAGCCTACACTGACCCAGAGTAGTGAACAGGAAATTGCAGTCTTCTTACTCTTTATTTTATTTCACTTAATGAGAACGGGGTGTGAGTGTGTGGCTCTTTGTCAGCCCTGCTTAGATGGGCCTGGGGCTGACCTGGAGGGATCATCACTGTGGCCAAGTCTTCCTGAGCAGGCCCTGCATGCCTACCCGGAGTCTTTTGGACAGACACCTGAGGCACTCTCTGGGCTCTCATTGCAAAGACGTGATCGGCAGGTGCTGGTTTACTTTGCACTTTTCCTCTAGAGCTCCCTTAATGGCTTCCACAGTGGTGGACAAATCCCGGCTTGGCTCATCCGGCCTAATGGAGGTTTTCCATTGTTGCTCTGTGCATTGTCTGCCAGGGTTGTTTGTGCAGCCTTCTGGGTACATAGATAAGTAGTACCTCGGCCTTAATTAGCCTTCTTTGATGATCTCCATGAGAAGGCTCTGGGACAAACAACCTTTTCAGTAAAGTCCCATCATAGTGCTGCCCTTGCTTATGAATGGAATCGGCCTTGGTGTCTGGGTGGTGGGGATGAAAATGGCCAGGATCAATGGCTTGGAAAGAAAGATGAGAGTGTGTCCACAACTTGGAGAATGTAATCAGTGTCACTAAATTGTACATGTGAATATTGTGCAATTGATGTATGTTTTGCTCTGCATATTCTCAATAACAAGAAAAATTATTTTTTAAAAAAAGGCCAGGATCAATAGGCAAGAATTCCTCTCATGAACCAAGAGGAAGGTTTTTTTTTTGTTTGTTTGTTTGTTTTTAACTTGCAAGCTTGATGACAAAAGCAGCTGAGTCTCAGCAAAGAGGAATGAAAGAAAAAAAAAAGAGGTAGATTTAACTTGATTTGACCTCAAGATCTAGCAGCCTCCACAGCTGGGTCTGTCCTCTCTCTTCAGGGTGCCTGTCCGGCATCTTATCCACAGGTGTCCCCTTCATGGATTTGGGACAGGGGACGAGGGCCCCATGGTTGCCTCTCAAAGCCCATCTTCAGGATCTCCCCTATAAGGCAGGACCCTCCCCATCTCCCTCTCCTGCAGAAGGTTCTCTTCCTTTCCAGCTGCAAACTGCATGATTTTCCCTCTGTGGTTTTGCTGGTCAGATCATCTTTTTTGGTAACTTGAACACTTCTTAGTTCAGGTTCCCATCACAGTCGACTAGGATGGTGTTTTGTTGTTGTTGTTGTTGTTATATGCCATCGAGTCGGACCCAACTCATAGTGACCCCTCCTTGGGTTTCCAAGGCAGTATCACTATGGAAGTAGATTGCCCCATCTTCCTTCCGAGGAGTGGCTGGTGGGTTTGAACCACCAGCCTTCTGGTTAGCAGTCAAGTGCCTTTAGCCACTATGCTAGGACTGGTGTTTTAGGGGACCCTTATCTTTATCCCAGAGTTCCTGGGTGATGCAGACAGTTATCATGCTCAGCTGCTAACCAAAAGGTCAGAGATTTGAGTCACCCAGAAGTGCCTTGAAAGAAAGACCTGGCAGTCTACTTCTGAAAAATTAGCCATTGAAACCCCTATGGAGCACAGTTCTACCCTGAGACACATGGGGTCGCCATGAATGGAGTCAGCTCCACAGCCGCTGGACTGCTATCTTCATCCCTGCAGTCTTTACTTATTAAAGTTAACTTAGGGCCATTTTCTTTTTTCTAAACTCAAAACTCACTGCTATGGAGTCGAATCTGACTCATAGCGACCCCTCCTTGGATTTCCGAGGCAGTATCACTACAGAAGTAGATTGCCCAACCTTTCTTCCAAGGAGTGGCTGGTGGGTTTGAACCACCAGCCCTCTGGTTAGCAGTCAAATGCCTTAGGCACTAAGTATTTATTGCTGAGTTGGGAGCTGGGGAGGATTTTTTTTTTTTTAAAGTAGCTGTGTAGATGAAGACTTAAATTCCAGTCTTGCCAAGTACTTCTCTCAGGCTCAGGTTCTACAATGTAGAAATCAAAATAATTGCCTTGAGTGGTTGGGAAAATCAAACTGAGGTGTCAGTAGGTGTGAGTTTTCCTCTTCTTTCTGCCCAAGGAGCCTCCCCCTTCCCCAAACACACACTCATATACACAAACACACACTCTCACACACACTCACACACACTGATGGTCCTGGCTGTTTTTACTTTAGAAACATCCTGTGGAGAAGCAGCATAGTGCAAAAGAGAAACTTGTGGGCTTATTACCTGTCACCATGGTTTCTAGGGCTATTGTGCTTATGGCATTGAAGCCATGGGTGGGGGGTGGGGCTGTCTCTAGGGAATTCCCTTTAAAGTCTGTCCTCAAACTGCTGCTCATAGACATGAGGTGTTCCAGAGCCACCACATCTGTATACTGTGAACTGTCACGTCACAGCTGGATGATGCTGGCCCCCTGTGGGGGGCCACCGATGTTGGGATGAGGGAAGTTGTTTTCCAGAGTGTCCATCAACCCAAGGAGCCTGCTGACCCAGCTGTCCACACCTCACCAGACAGGTGACAGGTGAGGAAGCTGAGGCCTCACAGAGGGGACATCAGCAATAGGAGGAGTGTGGTTTAGTTGTTTCCCTAATAGGGGAGTAGCATGGAATGGGGTCAGCACTGGATTGAGAACATTCTACGCCCCCCTCCCCAATCCTCCCATCACCTGTCACGTCATCATTCCGGAAGATCTCCTTGCTTTGGGGCATTTTCCTCAGCTGTTTGCAGCATGGGCCAAAGCCCCCTCTGACTGCTTCATGTAAATGGGAAGCAGAGGTCCTCAGTGCCCCCTGAGGGCCCTAGTGCTGTGGTCGGTGGTGGCACTCGTCATTTTGTGACAACAGGCAGTGAGCATCCTGCTTCAGCCTCATCCTAACCAGAACATAGTGGTCTTTCTAATGCAGGATTGTTTGTTTGCTTATTTCTAGAGCAAATCATGGAGGAAGATAAAAAACATGGTGCACTGGTCTCCCTTTGTCATGTCCTTCAAGAAGAAGTATCCCTGGATCCAGCTGGCAGGACATGCAGGTAAACACAGCTGTCCAGATTCCCTAGCAAGTGGGCTTGGCTAGGGTGGGGGGTGGGGCACAGCACATTCAGGAGGGGCTGGCCTGGCCTCTGAGTGCTCTTAGAAGTGAAAAGCTCTCTTTGAGAGCCTTTGTAGTCAGAGATTTCAGCCATAGTGTACCTTTAACACTGCTTTGTAAATGAACCATGAACAGAGCTGCCTTCTGCATAGTCACTGTCACCCCTCTCACAACACCCATCCTTCCCTCCCTCTGTCTCTATTCTTTTCTCTCTCTCTCTCTCTCTCTCTCTCTGAGTATGGCAAATGCTCCATCGTCCCCAGAGAGTCCCGGGGAGTGTGCCCAGAGGGACTGTCTGCTGCTCAGGGGCCAAAGGCCTCCTCTCACCGTTGTTTGCAGGGAGCTTCAAGGCCGCAGCCAATGGCCGGATCCTGAAGAAGCACTGCGAGTCGGAGCAGCGCTGCCTGGACCGGCTGATGATGGACGTGCTGAAGCCCTTCGTACCTACCTACCATGGGGATGTGGTGAAGGATGGGGAACGCTACAACCAGATGGACGACCTGCTGGCTGACTTCGACTCACCCTGCGTGATGGACTGCAAGATGGGTGTCAGGTGAGCCAGCTCCTGGGAGCCCCTATGCTTGCCTGGGTGCCAGCCTCGGTATGGCAGACACCTAGAACAGCATCATGGCTTCCTGAGAGACTTTGTATGTAAGAGCAGGTCCTAGAGTCTGGTTTGGACTAAGTAGAAGCTCTTTCCCAGTCTTCTCCCATTATGTGCAGAAGGTGCAGAGACCCTGGCTCAGCTCTATGACGGCCCCTTCCTTTCTCTGGTGAGCTTAGGGCTTAGGCTTGGTGCTGAGCTTCCTCAGGAAGAGGGACAGAGAGAACTGCTCGTTGAGCATCAGGTGGCATTGCTGGGGGCCAGCACCAAGTAGGGAGGGAACAAGGTGCTGACTTTCTTTCCATGAGCTCAGCTGCAAAGGGGAGGCTGGAGTAGGGGCCTTCTCGTTTATCCCAGTGCTGAGAGAATGGGAAGACAGAACTGGCTAAAAGAACATGATGGTTTCCCAAAAATATGTGCTTGCCCTAAGATGGCAGTTGTAGAGGGAGTGCAGGAGCGTGAGAGACCCTGTCAACACTCACCAACTTTCCCATATCCTAGAGAGGGGCCTGGTGTGCCCTAGCCAGTCCAGCAACAGTGAGCTGCAGGGCCAAGTGAGCCTGGAGCCTAGAGGCAGGTGATTGGCCTTGTATAGAATTGACTCTGTTCCCTGGGTGGCACAAACAGTTTGTGCTCAACCACCAACCTACAGGTTAGCAGTTCAGACCCACCCAGTGGCACTGTGGAAGAAAGGCCTGGCATTCTGCTTCCATGAAGATTAAAAAACAAACCCACTGCCATCAAGTCGATTCTCACTCATAGCAACCCCCATTGGGTTTCCAAAACCATAAATCTTTGTGGAAGTAGATTGCCTCTTCTTCTTCCCATGGAGCAGCTGGTGGGTTTGAACTGCTAACCTTCTGGTTAGTAGGCAGATACCTTACCCACCAGACCACAGGGCTTCTTTCCATAAAGATTATAGCCTCAAAAACCCTTCAAAGCAATTCTACTCTATAACACATGGTATTGCCATGAGTTACGTTCAACTTGATGACAATGGGTTTGGTTTTTGGAGCATGGGCTCTACCCCTAGGTTCTTGATGACCTGGGTTGGGCTAACCCTGTTGGATTCCAGGAGAGATTAATGGGACAGGACCTGGGATGGAAGGGAGAAATTAAGAATGGGCAGAGCGCATAGATAAAAAGCTCTATTGGAGGGGATAGCCAGGGCCTGAGAGGCCACTGCTCTGAGCTTCAGGCTCCTGGGTCTTGGTGGGGTATTTGCTCATCTGCTTTCAAACTTCTTGTAGTGTAGGGAAGGGCTTGGAGAAGCCCCTCAGTGCTGTGGCCCTTACAGTGTCTAGCGCTGGTGCTCACCCTGAGAGCCTAGCCACGTGGTTCCCTGAGGGCCAGGCATGGAACAGCATTGCTGAACATGTTTTGTTTGGGTGATCTGATCAATTTTATTTCTTACAAGAAGAGATTGAGAAAGGGGTGTGTGTGTGTATGTGAGAGAGAGATAGGCTGCCAGACAGAGAAGCCAGGAGAAATGTGAGCCAAGCTTTGTCAGTTTTCCTTTCCTCCTTGCTCCTCCTGGGATCTGTCATTATATAAGACCCTGCAGGTCAGCCCAGTAGTGGTCCCTTGGCAGTGCCTGCAGGGCAGGAGGGATAGAGGGAGAGAGCATGAAGTACAGACCCCAAGTGTCTATTCTTGCACCAGCCCCTCCCACCATCTCAGGCCCTCAATACCTCCAGGGAGCTGGGGTGGGGCTGTGAAGAGACAGAACACCTCTCTAGCAACCACTAGGCCATGGTTCTTCCCCAGAGTTTTGTTTCTGTCCCCGGAAGACCCTCCCCTTGGCGCTTCAGGATGTGCTGTCTCAGGGAGGCCCAGCCCTTCCTCCCAACCCAAACACCAGCAGGACTCAGCCTGTCTGCAGGGGAGGGGAGTTCAGGTTACAGCAAAAACAAATGGAAAATATTCCTATTGGTATTCACTCAGACCGTGACCAAAAAAGTGCAGGCCTGTGTGAAAGACTCGCAGCCTGTGATTTCCTGAAAGGCGGTATCCCCAAGGATGGCCTGCTGCGCCGCACCCTGGGCCCTGCTTCTGGGGCCTGCAGGGCTCTGTGGTGGGTAGAAGTCTGCCCACCCAGGGTGGCCCTTTGCCCTTTCCACACTGCTAGTCTCCTAATACACCTCAGGGCTCTCGGGGGGTGTCTCACAATCCATTTGTGAGTTGGGACCAAGGAAGGGGGCTGCAGGGTGAGAGAGGAGAATGCATGGTGGAAAAGAGACGGTTTCCCCAGAAGCAGCCCCACCCCAAGCCCCAGTCCTTTGGCCTCCTGAGTCCTAAGCTGGGAGCACGCATGCCCTTCCCATGCCCTGGGTGTTGAGCTTGGTGCTTTCCCTGCATTGTCACATTTAGTCCTCACTGCCACCCTGGAAATCAGTCATCGTTCCTTTGAGCAGCAGAGCTTCACTTAAGTGAAGTGACTCATTCCGGGCCACGCCTCAGTCAGCAGCACAGTCCAGAGAAACAGCAGCAGTGAGGTATACATGAGATAGATTTAATTTAGGGAATTGGCTCACGTGATTGTGGAGGGCTGGCAAGGCCCACATCCGTAGGTCAGGTGATAGGTTGAAGAGTCCTGTAGGCTTGTGTCCCAAGATCTATGGGTCAGGTGATGGCAAGAGCGCAGAGCGAAGTTCTGTCAAAACATTTACTTATATTCTGGAGGCAAACACAGCCTAGTGAAACTCCCTTTTTTACATTAGATTACATTATGGAAGGTGAGTACATTACATTTACATTAGATTATATTATGGAACAGCAACTAGACTAGTGTTTGACTGAACAACTTGGAACCATAGCCCAGTTGACACATAAAATTAACCATCACACCAGATTTGCAATTACTTGCCTAACTATGAGAGGTGCCCTGGTAGTGCAGTAGTTAAGTGCTCAGCTGTTAACAGAAAGGTTAGCAGTTTGAATCCTCCAGCAGCTTCGTGGGAAAAAGATGAGGCAGTCTGCTTCTGTAAAGATTATAGTCTTGGGAACCCTTGGAGGAATTTTATTCTGTCCTATAGGGTCACTGTGGGTCAGAACTGACTTGATGGCAGTAGGTTTTTATTTTCCCCTGACTGCAAAGCCCAGGCTTTGTTCTGTGTGACCTGGTTCTGTGGCACCTTATGAGGTATCTATAGTCAGTTACATCTGGGCTGTGGATTGTGGCATTTACACAAATACATGGATGCAGTACACCTTGGCCCCAGAGCCTCTTCTGAGACTGGTGTTCCATGTGATTCTTCTGATCAACCCCAAAGTGTGGCCCTGTCCTGGCCAGAGAGAGGAGACTGAGCTGGAGCCCAGAAACACCATGCCTGGACCCCAGGGCATTGAGGGGTGGAGACTTGTCACAGAGAAGCAGTGGAAGGGCAGATGGGTGCAGGGGCAGGGGATGCAGGTGCCCACCGTGGACCCGTATTCCACATGGAGGTGTTTTCCAGTGGAGGGCCTAGCTGTGCTCTGGGGAGTTTCCTTGGCTTTGATCCCATCAACTCTGTCTTATATGACTTGCTGCTGAGAGTCAGAAAGTGTCTTATTGACAGCTGGCTGGTGGGTGAGACTAGAGCTGTGTTCCAGTGCCTCTGTGCCCTTTGTGAAGCTGTTGGTGGCTTTGGTCTGTCACTTGCTGGACTCCCCCTTGGACTTGCTGTCCCCCTCAGAAGGAGTACTTCCTTCATTAGTTGAATTACTTGTGGCAAAGTGGTTAAAGCATTTAGGTGCCAACGAGAAAAAAGGTCAGTGGGTTAAACCCACCAGCTGCTCCCCAAGAGAAAAATGAGGCAGTCTGTTTCCATAAAATTTACACCCTTGGAAACCCTGTGAGGCAGTTCTACTCTGTTACAATGAGTTGGAGTCCACTTGATGGCAGTGGGTTTGGTTTAGTGGTTTAGCCCAGCTTATCCGTGACTGGATGAGCACGTCTCTGCTCTCTGTATGTGATGGTAGGTTTTAACCTTCCCTTAGGGGCAGGGCAACCTGTGGAGGCTGTGTCTCCCCTCCCAGGCTACCTCCAGGTCCTGCCATGCAGCTGGTAACCCTGTGGGTATCTCTCCTTAAGCCCAGTTCCTCTCCCTGTGTGAAAAGGGATTTGACATCAAGGCCTACTTCCTGTTCAAAGAACTTACTAGAGAGCTCTTTGTAGAAATATAGCCACCATGCACCCCACCCTGCATGCCCCAGAGCTCACACAGTAGCATTTGGGATGGCCAGCTCCTTCCCACCACCTGGCTGCCCCTTCATCCACCACATTCCACACCGATACGCAGCCACCAGGCTCGTGTGGTACAGCATCAACAACCTGACACAGCAACGTCCTGCGTCACAGTCTCTGCTTTGCAGCTCTGATTGCTAACTGTAGACACACACACACATACACACGTAGGGTGCATATATGTGCATGTACACTTGCATGTCTACATGTGTGTGCATGTGTCATACTGTGCATGTGTATGTGTATGTGTACACAGCCAAGGACTGATGGCTTCCCCCTTGCAGTGTTCATCACCTCCTGGAAGATTCTGAAGGAAGATTCTAAAGGGCTAAGTTCACACTTTTCTTCCTGTTTCTTCTAGTGCAAATACCAGTGGATGCGGTGGTTTCTGAAAGCCTATCTTTTTAAAGACATCGTGGAGTTTTGCTAAGTCTGTTCTGAGTCCCAAACTAGCAGCTTGGGAAGGTGCGGTGGGAAGTGCTAGAGCAAGGCGGGGGTGAGGGATGGAGGAGAGTGCAGGGTGCATGGCCCAGGGTGGAGGTGGAGGGAGGGCGGAGCTGCTGTCAGCAGCGGCTGCTTTGTGGGCAGCTCCCACCCACGCAGAGGCCAGAGGCCGAGAGAGTAAACTTCCCTCTCCTGCAACTGACACTGCCGATTTCTGTTTCATGAAGTGTCACAGGCCACCTCGGAGCCCCTTTGTGGGGGGAGATGGGGCTTAAATGGGTGCAGGGAAGAGGGCAGAGGGGGTTCCTCATGATGTGGACAGGCCACACCTGCATGCTGCAGGGTGACTCCATCTCCAGTTTGGAGCATGGTGGTCAGAGAGGAAGGAACCGTGTTATGCAGTGGTTAAAATGCCTGGCTATGAGCCAGAAGGTTGGTGATTGGAACCCACTAGCCACTCCATGGAAGAAAGATATGGCAGTCTGCTTTTGTAAAGATTACAGCCTTGGAAACCCTATGGGACAGTTCAACTCTCTGCCCTATACTCTTTATGAGTTAGAATTGACTCGATGGCAGTGGGTTATATGGGTCAGTGAGGCAGCCCCACTGGAAGCCTGATATGGGGCATGGGGCATGGGTATCAGGGGCAGAGGCCTGTCTCAGCAGACCAGGGCTGGGTTTGCAGTGGGCTGGGGGTTCAGCTTCTGGCTGTTCAAGTCACACACAGTCCCTGTCCCTGTCCTCTCCACCACAGGTGTGAGCCCTGCCAAGCCAGCACTAACTAAGCCCAGCCTCCTTGTGGGGAGGGCAGGGAAGGGCGACACTTCAGTTGGGCGCATTTGACTTTGACTTGGATACTCTGGTATCAGACACGTTGGCCATACCTAGGCCTGGAGCTAGTGAGAGAGTATGAGTGGGGCACAGCCCCACACCGAGCAAAGAGTAAGGCACCTAGAGGCTTCACCTCCCTTCCTGGGCTTTTTCATCTTGCATTATGGCCCCTACAAGCCCACCTTCTGGCCTTTTATACTTAAGTTTGTCCCCTCTTTAGAGAGAGCCAGAGACCTTCACAGGCAGGTCTCTCCAGGCTACAGAGGAGTGGGGAGAAGGATGGGGTGCAGGGAGTGGAACAGAGTGAGTTCTGCAATAACACAGGTGAGCATTCACTTGATGGAGGGGCCCGGTGCTGACCCAGCCAGGGTAGGGGGCAGTCTATAATCCTGCATCCTCTTTTCTTTACTCTGCTATCCCTGAGGGTGTACTACAAGGCAAGGTACCCCTTAGGCTTTGCCAGGCCTTCCAGTTAGTCTTGGAATAAAGTGGATCCAGTCCAGGTGCCAGCCAAGTTGAGCACATCACCCACCCTGGGTGAGCAGCTCTGCCACTAAACTATGTTCCTTGGCCAGGGCCTCCTGCTCTGAGCCTTTATCCACCAGTCAGTGACAGGGTGCTGGCGAGCTGTGGGGGCCAAGGCCCTCATGTCGCCTCTCCTCTACACAGGACCTACCTGGAGGAGGAGCTCACCAAGGCCCGTAAGAAGCCCAGCCTGCGGAAGGACATGTACCAGAAAATGATCGAGGTGGACCCTGAGGCCCCAACCGAGGAGGAGAACACCCAACGGGCTGTTACCAAGCCTCGCTACATGCAGTGGAGGGAGACCATCAGTTCCACGGCCACCCTCGGGTTCAGGATCGAGGGCATCAAGGTGAGCTGGGGAGGGGCAGCCAATGTGGGTAGAACAGTGAGGACCACAAGCTGACCTGTGCTCACTCCAGGGTCTGTAAACTTCCTCCATTCATAGGCCCAGGGTCTGGGCAGCCAGCTGCAGACACAGATATTTGGGGGCATTAGTTCCTGGCCTTTTCCTCAGTCTGAGGTGCAGGTGGGATGGATGGGCAAAAGGCCGGGCCCTGAAGCAGGGGGAGTGTTTCTGGCCTTGTGCTGTAGTCACCTCTGCCAAGGACCATACACTGAACCAGGAGCTAAATGTGTACACGCTGAGAACTTGTACAGGTGCCAGCTTATAGGATGCCAGCAGGGAAAGGGGCTCCCTTTGCCCATAGCCTACTCACTGGGTGGCTGGCAGTGACACACAGGCACCAGGGGTGAAGTGGGGGTGAGTCGACATTCCAGCTGCCTTGAACATCCGTCTGAGCTGTGGTCTGCTCAAGGAGGCAGGACAAAGCACCGGTGACACCTCACCCTCTTCTTTCCTTGTGAGTCTCCTGTGAAGGGTCTAGACTGCTCTTTTGTGTCCAGGCCCCTGTACACTCCTTGCTGTAAAGTTTGCATGAAACCACTTAGACTTGCACTGGGCCCTCAGTCTTGGGCAGCTTTGCTACTAGTGCAGACTGGTGTGTAAATGTGCATCTCTCTACTTGCCAGTGTCTTGCAGTCACGGAGGCAAGGGCACGGGGAAAGGTTTTCACCTTCTCCCAGGACTGCTGCTTGGTGAATGCTGGATTCAGAAAGCCATTTGTCCCTTCCATTTTCTGAAACCTGCTGTAAAAATGGCGTGATGAAGGCATCTGACTTCCTGTAACTTCACACGATGGGAGAATTGCCAACAGCAGCACCAGCCCAAGGCTGATTCCTGTGAAGTGGAGTTCAGACATGCCTCCTCTCTCCAACCTTTTTACCAATTCTGACACTAACCATTCCCATTCCTGGCACTCTCTACTTCTCTGCTGGGTTCAATAATTCATTGCAATGGTCACACAGAACTCAGACAATACTCAAAATTATGGGGTTTATTAGGGAATCAACAGGTTATAATTCAGGATCAGGTCAGACTCAAGATATAGTTCTTCAGTCAGGTCAGCCTTTTCTCAGTTGTGCCTACAAGCAGGCTTCTCCCTGGCCTCTGGCCACTTGGGTCTCTTGGGCCAGCACAGCCACTTCCCTGCTTGGGCAAGTATTACAGAACTCTTTAGCTCCACCAGTCAGTGCTCAGAGGCACCCCACTCTGCCAGCAAGCCTCCTGCCTGAAGGCACTCAGCTCTTTCATTCCATGGGTCGGCAAGCCTGACTGTGTGGACACTTCACTCTGCCAGCAAGACTCCTGCCCAAAGGCTCTCAGTTCTCTCACTCCATGGGCCAGAAAGCCCACCACACCATCTCCTGCCAGTCTCTTGGTTCTGCTACTTCTGCTTCTGTTTCTCTGCTGCTGCTTCTCTCGCCGTCTCCAGTATTACAGCTCTTTGTCTCCTGGGTCTAGGAGGTTCTCAGCACAGGTATCCTGGGTCCGAAGGACATAGTCTGCTCCTGTCTCTCCTTCTTCTTCCTTTCTGCTCTGCAGTGGTTCATTTTAAGCCTTGTTATGGTTCCATACACCTTATTTGCATGGTCCCACCACCATAGTGTTCCATGTACCTTATTTGCATTATTAGGAAACCACCCAATCCCCTTTGTGGGCCATAAGCATCTTACTTGCATAGTCCCACATAGTCATTGGGTGAGAGTCACAAGACTATGGTTAGAAAGGCCATATTAAGTAATTCACTGCACCACACCTACCTGCCTTCTTTTTTTAAAGCCCCAAACTTAATGTAGATTACATGCTCATCTTGCTTCCCTTACTGCTCATTTTCCTTTCTCTAACTTCAAAATTCAGTTTCTTTTTCACCTTTCCCTCTCAAATTGTTCTTCTCGCCTCTGTCCACTGTCCAGCTGTATGACCAGCTAACAGTTGATCTTCTTAGACCAGAGGCCCAACAGCTTAGAGAGAAATCAGTTGTCTTCAGCATTCTCTCCTTGCTTCCGTACCCTTGATCCAGGAAGTGCTTTGTGCAAAGAGGCCACGCAGGAAAGGCTCAACAGAGATGGGACACCTACCTGCCTCCCTACCCTAGGCCTTCCTCTGTTCCAGGGTTCTGCTCAGTCTCACAGTAGCCACAGTAAAGTCCTAGCTTTAGCTAATCTCCAACCTGGTGGAGGAGGGACCTTTCTCCTGGGACTCCTGGAGCCCCGAGTGGCACATAGGGTTAAGCAATCAGCTATTAACAAAAAGGTGGGCTGTTCAAATTCATACAGAGACACCTTGAAATAAAGTCCTGGCTATCTGCTCCTGAAATATCAGCCATTGAAAACCCAGTGGAACACAATTCTACTTTGACACGCATGGGGTCATCATGAGTCAGAGTTAACTCAATGGCAACTGTTTTGTTGTTGTTGTTTTTTAAGCAGTGTTATCCTTTCTCATCCTTTGTCCCTTAAGAACAAATTTCCTCATTGATGAGCTAAGCCCCTTAGCAAATGAGCAGAAATAATACCTGGGCCAGGAAGCTCTCATGCTGGCTGCACCAGAGGCAGAGCTAACAGGGGCAGTTACATATTTGGCTTTTAGAGAGGCTAGGGTAAAATAATTTGATGCATTTGAGTTACGGTGTTGAATATTGAATATATTCAATGGACTGCCAGAAAAATGAATAAGTTTGCCTTGGAAGAAGTATAGCCAGATAGCACCTTAGAAGCAAGGATGGCGAGACTTCATCTCATGTATTTTAGACGGGTTATCAGGAGGGAGCAGTCCCTGGAGGAGGACATCATGCTTGGAAAAGTAGAGGGTTGGCGAAAAAGAGAAGACCTCAGCATGGTGGATTGACACCGTGGCTGCGACAGTGGGCTGGAAATAGCAACATTGTGAGGATGGTGCCAGGCGGAGCGTTGTTCTGTTCTGTTATACATGGGGCCACTGTGAGACTGACAGTAACAGGTACAGAGGATTCCCTGCGTGGTGCAGATGATTTCTGCTCTCGACTGCCAACTGAAAGGTTGGAGGTTTGAGTCCACCTCGAGGTGCCTCAGTGAAAGTCTTGGTGATCTACTTGTAAAACTCAGCCATTGAAAACCCTCGGGAGCGCAGTTCTCCTCAGACAGACATGGGATCACCATGAGTCAGGGGTACCTCAAGGGCAACTTTTTAATTTTTAGGATAAAAGATCTTAAATTACAGGAAGTCTAGCTGAACTTGGGATGGGGCATACTTCCTCTGACGGTGGCCTACCCGTGGCTGCCAGTTCCAGGGCCAGGCCCCCTTGTAGTGGAGCCAAGGTGGTTCTGTCTCCTTCAGGCCTGGTGCTTGCTGGGATGGGCCTCTCCCATGCCACACTCTTCAACTCGCTTTGACCTAAACACCCCCTCCCTGCTCCAGACCTTTCCCAGTGTTGTCTCTTCTGGCTGGAATGACATTGCCACCCTCTGTCTTCTCTGTGGACAAGACACCCCCAACTTGGTGTTGCCTGAATTAACTCGGTTGCATGAGGCCCTTGCTCTCTCTGCTATACATGGCTCCTGGCTGCCTGTACTGCTCCTGCAAGGACTTGGGGCCAGGACCAGGGCTCGGTGCTCCGTGGCCAGTACTCTGGGCCATTTGGTGGGTGAATGTTGCCAGTGGGTCCTCTTCTGACCCTGCTCTTGGGTTGGGGGATTGTTCTCCATCTCAGAAAGAAGACGGCTCTGTGAACCGGGATTTCAAGAAGACCAAGACGAGGGAGCAGGTCACTGAGGCCTTCAGAGAATTCACTAAAGGAAACCAGAACATCTTGGTGAGAGAGAGAGAGAGAGACAGAGAGAGAGAGAGAATGTGTGTGTGTGTGTGTGTGTGTGTGTGTGTGTGTGTTGCACTCTCCTTAGCCCGAGTGGCCGGGGGAGGGGGTGGTGGTGCTTGAGGCCAGTTGGGATGGGATCACCAGCCCAAGGCTTCCTGAAGAGTCTTTGCATATGGAACTGGGCCATGGCAGTGGGGGCTATTTGCCCACACAGAACACCCTGGCCCCAAACATTGGAAGATGAGGAGAAGGTGTTGCATCGTCAACCTGGTGCGGTGGGAGAACAGGAACGTTCTGGGAAGACTCACTGACTCCTTCCCTTAAGTTTTCAGCTTATAGCTTAAGACAGTTTCCATTCCCTTAAGAGAATGATAATTGCCATGTTTCTTTAGCACCTTCTGCCTGCCAGGAATTATGCTAAGCACTCATTGAATCCTCAAAAGAATCCCTGTAGTGTAGGTGGACATTCTTGTTCCATTTTACAGATGAGGAAACTGAGTGAGGTCAAGGACATTAAAGCAGGAAGGGGTGGAACTGGGATTCAATCCCATTGCTGACCGAACTGGATGCCAGGCAGGCTGTGAGGACCCTGCCAGTGTGGTGGGGCCCCCACCAGGCCTGTGAGGCTGGGGAAGGGAGGTCTGCCCTGGGGTCACACTGCCTTCACCAGCAATAACCTACCAGCTCTCTCTGAGCCTAGAGGTATGGGCAGTTCATGATCATGACAAAGTGGTTCTGTTTACATTAGCTGCTGCTGCAGGGGCAGCAGACAGACTGAGGCAGAGGCTGGGCCTTCTGACCACTGGGATTAGAACACTTGTTTTCCCAGCTGAGCTAGTGTCTTAGTCTCTTTGGGCGGACATAACAAAATACCACAAAGTGGGTGGCTTTAAAGAACAGAAATAAATTGTCTCACACTCTTGGAGGCTGGAAGTCCAAATCAGGATTTTGGCTGATTCCTTTTGGGGCTTTGAGAGAGAACCTGTCCCATACTCTGTCCTACTTTCTGGCTGCCAGGGATCCTTGGCTCATACATGGATCCTCACATGCTGTCTTCTCCTGTGTGAGACTCTGTTTCCACGTCTGCTCTGCTCTTTTACAAAGTGCCACTCAAAAAGGGTTAGGATAAGGACCCACCTGACTCCATTATAAAGGAGCTCTGGTGGTGCTATGATTAAGGCATTGGGCTACTAACCCAAAGCTAGGTGGTTTGAATCCATCAGCTGCTCCAAGGGAGGAAGATGAGGCAATCTCCTTCCGTAAAGATTTACAGCCTTGAAAATCCAATGAGGCTCACTATAAGTTGGAGTCTACTTGAAGGCAGTGAGTTTGGTTTGGGTACTAATTGGTTTTGATTTTGTTAACTGGTAACATTTGCAAAGAAAAACATTTCACTCGAATGAGGCTGCATTCACTGGTACAGGGGTTACGACTTTAACATGTATTTTAGGGGAGACAATCATAGCAATTTGTGTGTATTGTGGACAGGGTACCCTGTAATGATCAGAGACCCAGGCACCCCCTGGGACGTGAGCTATGGAGCCCCCAGAACCCTGTGAGAGACCCCTGTAAGGGGCTGGTGAGAAGGGGTGGGCCCAGACAGTCTTCTCTTCAGGGAAACTGAACTGGCTGACACTGGACCCTCCCTTCTCCTCCTCCTCCAGTTCTGAGTAGGCCAGGGATGCGCCCCTGCACCTGCTTTGGCTGGCCTTGGGGCTACCAGTCACGCCTGGGATTTGTGGGGGATTCACCCCATTCCTCAGAGCCCTGACTGGTTCCTCCTCCTTAGCAGTGTCTGCTACAGAACACATCAGGGCCTGGTGGGCTTGTTCCTGGCGCCCGGCACCCAGGGACTTGCTGGCCCAGCCTCACTAAGTTGTGTCACTGTCGTTCAGCTGGCCGTTGGGGTGCCGGTGTGTGGACAGACAGGCTTCCCCAGTGGCCTTGTGGCTGGAGGCTAGTCAAACCCACAGAGCTGGCCCCTGGGGAGGGAGGGTATCCTGGGCTGCACAGCCCAGTGGGAGTGGAGAGGCTCCTGGTGGAGATATTTGTGGCTCTCCAACTTACTCTTCAAACACAGGCACTGAGGTTTGTATTCAGAAAGACACCATGGCAACCAGGCTCTTAAGATGCCGACTGTAAACTGCTGGCATTCCAGAACAAACTCGGCCATCATGCGTGAGCCCCTAGAGGGTGGCAGGGCTATACCGGAATGCCCCTCCCCACCCTTGCTCACGAAGCACATGAGGTAGGGAAGACATGGGGCTGGGTGCCCACTGGGCCTCCTCTGGGCTTCCGATTCTTGCTTCATAGATGAGGAGGTTGGAGTAAATTATAGCCGTCCATGGTCCTTCCTAAGGAGCTCTGGTGGCACAGTGCCTAAGGCATTTGATTCCCAACTAGAAGATTGGCAGTTCAAACCCACCAGCCACGAGTGCTCAGAAGGAAGAAAGAGCAATCTGTTTCCATAAAGATTTTATTGCCTCAGAAACCCAGTGGGAGTCGCTGTGAGTCAGAATCAACTCAATGGCAGTAGGTTTGGTTTGGTTTTTTTTTTGGAAAATCCTCCCCACTTTTTATACCATGACTCTGATAAATGGAGCTTAAAATTCAACACCCCCCCCCGCCCCCTCCACATCAATAGCATGTAAAACTCTGGTCACTTTTTATTCCCAGATCGCCTACCGGGACCGGCTGAAGGACATTCGGGACACCCTAGAAGTGTCTCCTTTCTTCAAGTGCCATGAGGTAAACATTGGTGGATGTTTTTGCCCTCTTGGGCAGAGAGTCACATTCAGGATGACTGGCCTCAGCCTGCTGGGTCTGTCCACCTGGAGAGTGGCCGTACCATCCATGCCATCAAACTCACTTGTCCCAGAAGTCCGAGGGCATTTTTGGAATGACCGGTCATGAGCAGGACATCAAGGGTCCATCCCTCACAATGTGTAGGAACCATGCCATATGACTTCCTGGGGTGAATACCCCAGTTCATGCCTGAGAGATTTGAGGCCATCACCCCCTTCCTTCTTCCTCTCACTCCCAGCTCCTGAGGCTTGTTCATGCTGCCATTGTGGTGGAACTTTTATTCCAGACACCCCCGGTGCCTTAGGGTCGAAGCTCTCTGAGGTGTAGAGTAGCCAAATAATGGCCATAACCACCTGAAGAGCTTCAGACTGTGGGAAAGGCAGGGAGGTCTTCAGTACCACTCTCAGAGCAGGGCTGGAACTTTCCACCTGCCTTGCCTTCATAGGGACAGTAGGCAGCAAAGAGGGAGTGAGGATTTGATAATTGTTAGCTGTTCCCTCGGCGGGTTGGTAAGGTCTCAACGCCAAGGAGTTCAGGGCCCCCAAGCCTCTGTGTGTGTGGTTTTAAGAAATGAAACCTAAGGTAGGGGCGAAGGGAGGAAAAACTGCCAGAAAAAGCCAGTTGAGGAGGCAGCTGAGGGATCCCTCGGCCCAGCCCAGAGAGGTCAGGGGTCATGGGATTTTGGACCTAAGATGTGGGACACAAAGACACACACACACACACACACACACATACCATGCCCAGGAATGGTGAATACCAGGACTGGGGGCTGTGTAAAACAGCTCTCACCCTGTGGGACACACACACACACATACCATGCCCAGGAATGGTGAATACCAGGACTGGGGGCTGTGTAAAACAGAGCTCTCACCCCTCTCTGCAGACTTCCAGCTCTTTCAGAAAGCAGCCCTCTCTCTCCCTTCCCTTGAGGGGTCTTCCATGGACCTTCAGCCTGAGCACTGCCTACACAGAAGGCTATGTCATCAGTTGGAGGAGGAACTGGAGATGGGAGGTGTGGGGTTCCTGGGGGTGTGGAGGGAGAGTGTATTACGAGAGTGTGCCAGGCCCTGGCCCACATGGCACCTCTGCATATTGAATGCACCACAGCCCCTCCTCCAGCAGAGCCAGCCTATCATGGCCTTGGATTTTATCACCCTTTGCCCCTCAGCCAGGATATATGTATGTGGTGCCTGCGGGGCACCCATGAGGACAAGGGGAAAAGGTACAGATGCAGACTTTGGACTCCACCATTCTCACTGCCCCTTCTCCCCGTGGCCACAGGGAAGCCATGTTTCCAGGTCCTCAGCTTCTCTTGGATCCACTGTGTCCCAGCCTGATGAAGAGTTGTTGTGCAAGCCTCTCTTCCCTCAGCTTCCTCCTTCCTATGTGACAGACTTCATGCTGTAGGACCGCCTGCCAGTCCCACATGTTAACTCCAGAATCCCATGACCTCCCTGTACTGGGCTAAGGGATCCCTCAGCTGCCTCTTGATAACCAGGCAATCCCAAGCTTTGTCCGTCAGTTTTTCCTCCCTTCTTCCCTGCCTTTGGTTTTATTTCTTAAAATACATATGTATATAAAATACTTACACACACACACACACACACACACACACATATTTCTTTTGCTAGATTTAAAAAACAGCTGGAGTCCCTCAGAAAGTTGGAGTCTCAGAAGCTTCGGGTCTAGAAAGAGAGCAAGTCAGCTGGGGTTTCTATTCTTTCCATCTTTTCTCCAGGCTCAGGATTTCCAAGGGGTCTTCCCTAAATCCTACCCTGGATTCTGGGAGCTATAATGATCTTAGTCCCTTCCCAGTCCCTGGAGAAGGATATCATGCTTGGTAATGTAGAGGTCAGCAAATCAATAAGATGGATTGACACAGTGGCTGCAACGATGGGCTCGAGTATAGCAAGGATTGTGAGGATCACACAGGACCTGGCACTGTTTCATTCTGTTGTACACACCATTGCTGTGACTCAGAGTCAACTCAGTGGCACCTAACACCAACAGCCCCTTCCCACATTCCTTGCTTCTTGCTGGCCCTACTCAGGGACCCAGGGGAGGGACAGGGGGGTGTAGTCATATTGGGGAAAGCGTGCCTTGCTCCATGCCAGTGCTTGGCCCTTGCCCAGAGGGGAGGACCTCTAGTGCCTGCTGTCTCCAGGGGAAAGTAGTCAGGAGCTAGCCCTGGGATGCCCTGCTGGGCCTCTCTGCCCAGGATTTGCAGGAGGGAGGGGACTTGTCCTGTGGGGGAGGGGCAGGGTGCTCCAGGCCTCACCCCCTGCTGCTGGTGCTGTGTGTGCATTTGAAGGGGGTCCTTCCCTCCACTTGCAGGTAGAATTTGGAGCTTTCTTGGCACCTTCCCTTTCACTATGAGCAGTCACTTAAGGTTTTTGGGGAGGACTGGGCAATCTACTTCCATAGAGATACCACTTTAAAACCCAAGAAGGGGTCGCTATGAGTCCTAATCAACTCTATGGCAGTGAGTTTGGTATTTTGTTTGTTTCTTTCCCCTAGGAGGGGAAGAGAAAATGCTCTAAGGGTTCGGTGTGTCTAGAAACATTGTTAAGTGTACTGGCTGGGAGGGGTGGTGAGGTCTGCTGTTCCAGACCCTCTCCCTGTGCGGTCTACACAGAGCGGTGGTAGAGGTGGTCTCATTCTGGAATCAGATGTCCCTGCTCCTGCCTTGGTCACTGGGGAAATGGAGGTGTGGGCTCTGGGGCTTCTTGCTGATGGTTCGTTCTGGCCACAGCCTTTTCCACACCCCTTCAAGTGCGGCTGGTGTGGTGTGAGGACCGGGAGGGGACTCCTGACCGCCCACCCACCCTCCTGTCCTTGCCTTCCAGGTCATCGGCAGCTCCCTCCTCTTCATCCACGACAAGAAGGAGCAGGCCAAGGTGTGGATGATTGACTTTGGGAAGACCACGCCCCTGCCGGAAGGCCAGACCCTGAAACATGACGTGCCCTGGCAGGAGGGGAACCGAGAGGACGGCTACCTCTCCGGGCTTAACAACCTTATCGACATTCTGACGGCGATGGAGGGAAAGCAAGCCTGAGCACAGCCCCCTCCGCCGCCCCGCCTCCCTTCTCTCCTCTCGCTCGGTTTCTCCTTCACTTCCTCCTGGGCTCCAGCCCAAAACTGACTCTCCCGGAACTGCACTACAAGACACTTGGTAGCAGAGGAGAAGAGATGAGATTTCCTAGTGATGTTCCTAATGTAAGGGTTTGGATGTGGGCCTTTCATTGCTCTTTGTAAATAGAATTGCCTACTAGAAGAGAAATGCTCAGGCGGCAGGCTCGGCACCGTGTCGGGGAAGTCAGTTGGGATTAGAGCCCAATTGAGGGAGGCTGCACCGGGGACACCTAACACACTAGCCTCCCAGCTTCCGGGCCGCGCCCCCCACATAAGCAGGCTTGGTGGGCTGAACTGCAGGGGCCTGCTGCCCTCTGGTGGTCAGTGCAAGTTAGCGCAGTCCCATTTCTGCGACGATCTAATGAGAGAACCAGGCCAAACAAGGGTTCAGATAGAGAGATACCTTGTGAGGGCATGTGACAAGCAAAGAGAGAGATGGGGTGTGTCAGCAGGTTCCCAGTGCCTGGTGGTAAGCCAGGCTTTCTGGTTATAGGGACACAAAACCACTAGGGGAGCCGCATGATGAGCAGGGGAGAGTACCATCCATCCGTTCAACAGCTCAGGGACTCGCAGAGATGCCTTGACCTTCCTAGAGCTTCAAAAGCAGGGACCCCATCCGTTTGGGCCTGAAGCCCTCCAACTTTGGGCCAGACCCCGGAGGATATAAGCCACCTGGGTGTCCTTTAAGCCAAGCCTTCCCAGAAAGGGCAGGCAGGAACTGTAACTGCCTATGAATTCAGAGATACATACTCTGCAGACCTGAATTTCCTAGTGGTGGTTGCCTCACCCCTGCTGTGGCAATATCTACCCGGGCTGGGTGTGAGGGCACCAGACACAGACAACATGGGGAGGAAGGAGGACAGACCTGGCATCCCTCCCCAAGGAGACTTTTCACTTACCCCCTAGCTCTCACAGTGCTGGTCAGTCCCCTGCCTATACCCTTGGAACCTTTCCCTGAGGTACAGCATTCCCAGCAGTCACTGGGAGGCCTTTCTGCCAGCAGGGCAGTGAGGTAACAGAATTCTGACTCACCGACATCATCCTTTTTTTTCTTTTTTCCCTCTGAAATAAGTCTTGTAGCCTGAAGGGCTTAGATCCTTGTTCTGAATGTGGCCTTAGTGCCTCCCAGGGTCTGTGGCTGGGTGAGAGACTTCATCAGTCTCTTTTGCGTAAAGATTTGTGGAAAACTGATTTTAGACCTTATCTTAATTGTAAAGCAAGTAAGTCTACATTATTGAGAAGAACGTCAAATGTACGTGATTTTTTAAGAAAAGAGCCCTGACTCTGTTGCCATTTGGAGCTGTATCCCCAGACCCCTCCGAGCTTGCTGCCGCTCTGTTTTGCTGTCAGTGGTCTATGGTGTAGGCAGTGAAGACACTCTGGCTGGGCCAGGCCAGCTGGGCTCTGCCCGGGGCTATCTCAGGAACACAGTGAAGAAAGCCTGCACCAAGGAGTGTGGCCCACAGGGAGGGGTTCGTGGGCCGCCCACCTCGTCACCCCAGGGTCATGGAGGGAACTGTTGCCTTGCTCATGTGACCCATAAGTTTCCCCTTTCATTCTGGCTGAGGGACAATGGTGGGGGCAGAGGGTGGGACACATCAGGATGTATAAGTGTAGCTTTCAAAAAAGGAAACCACTTTTAAACTTCCTGGCTCTTGTTAAAAACAGTGGTGAGCTCCTGTGTGGGCCGACTTGCTAAAGGTCACACCCCAGCTGGCCGAGCATGGGAGACCTTGTGACGACATGTGATGAGCAAAGAAGGAGGGATGGGGCGCCAGGGCTGCAAGGCCAGCTCTGAGGCTCTGAGCTGCAGTCACGTGTGGGTTTGAAGGGACCCCAGGGATGTGTGCTTCAGCCACCTGCCACCAACCAGCTGGCAATGGGCTTCATTAATTCAGACATAAAGATTCTATAGCAGTAAGCTAGCCAAAGGCTACCTTCATTCTATGAAAAAAAAAGTTTGCCTCAGCAAATGAATAAAATGAACAAAAGTACAGTGGACCAGCTTAACCTACTTAAGAGAACAAACTTTCCAAGCACTTTAAGCAGGCACTAGGTGTTTGCAAACAATGTGCTGTATGCAAATGTTAGTATATTCAAGGTGGGGGTGGGGCTCTTGTTGTCAATACTTTACCTTTGGGTTATATTATGTATGTGAAAGTGGTATAAGATATCTTTTAGGGTTATTTAGATTTTTTAAAGTGTATTTTCCTTGCAAATTCTTTTCCACACCTATTCTTATTCCACCCTTTCTACCCACTCTCTTGCTCTGGTATCCTGGCCCTCCCCCCCCCTTGCGTGGGGGTGGTAATAGATGGATCCTGCAATGGAGCTTACCCGAACCTCTGCCTGGTAGTCTGAAAAGACCCACCTGCTTAGCCCAGGTCCCAGCAGATCTAGGGGGGTTGGGGGGGGGGAGTGGGGAGTGGGAGTAGCGGACATGCTGTGGGTACAGGACCTCCTGCCCCATGCTTGCTGGCCCGGGGCATCCAGCACTAGTGTGTCTGTGCTGCTTAGCATTTGTGGCACTTTTCCTCATCTGCTTTCCCCAGACTTGCCTTTAGTGGTCATGTAAGAAGTTTTTAAGTTATATTTATTTTGTTGGTTTTTTAATTGCACAAAACACTAAGACTGAAAAGCTTATTTTGTTTTTCCTGTAAAGCTTTGCCCTCTCTCTCTCTCCATTGGCAGAAAGAGCCAGAAGCAGTCCCAGCCCCCCAGGATGGACTATTTCCTTCTTTGGCTGTATTTAGCTTGGAGTTTCTCTGGATCCAGTCAGTCCCCGTGTATATATACCCCTTGCTTTAAGGCTTGGGAAGAAACAGGGTGTTAGTCCCATCAGTGCCTTTTTTTTCTGGAGGAGAAGACTCCCTGAGAGAGGCTCTCCTTTCTCTCTGTGCCCCTCTTTCCACGGAACTTGGAGAAAAGCAGAATTGTTAGAGAACCCTTGTGCACGGTGCCTTCTCAGACTGCGGATGCTCTGTATCTTCCTGAATAAAGATCCTGAGACTATGGTGCCGTCTGCAGTGTTGTCAGTGCGGGCCCCAAGCCCTCAGGAAGTGTCTGATGGGTGAATGGGTGGTGCTAGGGAATTGCATGGAGGCTGTGATGGTTTTGGGAACCTGGGTGGCGCAGATGGTTAAGTGCTCAGTTGAAACTGAAAGGTGGGTGGCTTAGAACCCACCCAGAGGCACTTTGGACAGAAGGCCTGAGGATCTTCCAAAAAGTCATAGCCACTGAAAACTCCATGGAGCACATTCTGTTGTGGCAACTCCTGGGATTACCATGAGTCAGAATTGACTGGATGCAACTGGTTGGTTGGTTGATAGTTACCAATATGACCCTCTCCAGACTGTTTGACAGTGCAAGAGGAGGGGGTGATGCAGAAGCTCTGACATTCAGTGACGTGGATTTGATTCCTGGCCAATGCACTTCATGCACAGTTACCAGTGGAGGTTTGTGAATGGGTTTCAGCAGAGCTTTCAGACTAAGAAAGACTGGGAAGAAAGGTCTGGTGATCATCTGAAAATCAGCCAATGAAAACCCTGTTGGATCACAATAGTTGCTGTGAGTTGAGGGCAGAGTTGACAACTAACAACAACATTGAGGCACTTGTATTTTCAGTTTATCAACTTTGAACAAAGCTTTATAATCTTCACTTTATACATGAGGAAAACTGAGGAGCAGGGATCTGAATCCAGAACTTGTCTTGTCTCAAATCCAGGCCTGTTCTGTCCTTCCTACCTTGGGGATGTCTGGAGGGCAGATAGCATGCCTCATCTTTGAGGTGCTAAGCACAGTGCTTAGTCCATACACAGTAGCTGCCCAGCCAGTGTTTGTGCAACCAGTAAATGGCTGCTTGGCTGAGTTGGTGTTATGGATTGAAGTATTGTTCTGGTTACCTAGTGCCGCTCTGACAAGAATATACCGCAAATGGGATGGCTTTAACAAACAGGAGTTTATTCTCTTGTAGTTCAGGAGGCTAGAAGTCCGAGTGCAAACTGCCAGGCTCTAGGGGCTGTGTGAAAGTCCCTCGACCTTGGGCTTCAGCTCTGCCTCTTGCTCCTGGCCCACTGAAGCTAGAGGCATCTCTTCACTCAGGCAGCTGCTATCTACTAAGGCTGACAAACCCATGTCGACAAGAAAAAGGCACAGTCCTGATGTTACCAAACCACACGGCAGGCATGTCCATTGAAAGTTCCAAGACAGGCAGAGTATGGCAGGCTGCTGAACAATGACATGGCTACATGCAGGGTTTTAGCATGCCCCATAAGCTACAGACCATTCCTAAAGCTGTCTTATATACGGGAAGCAGACCACATACAGCTGCTCACAGTAGATTACACCATGGAATTGATTACCAGTTTCATCATGGGGAATACTACATCCAGCTGTCCAGCCACTCAACCAGGCTCAGCCAGGTTGGCACACAAACTTAACCACAAGTGTGTCCTCCAAAATATGTTGTACATCCTAATGTCTATGGCTGCGCTTATGATCACATTTGGAAATGGGTTGTCCGTAACATTAACAAGGTAAGGTGAGTGTAGGGTGTTTCTTGAGTCCTTTTTGAAATATAAAAGGTGCAGATTAAGCAAGGAAGAAAAAAAAAAAAAAACGGGAAGAGAGATGCCAAGCCACATGAAGAGAGCCCAGGAACAGAAGCTCAGAAGAGACCAAGGACTTCCCTCCAGAGCCAAAATAGCGAGAAAGCTCTGCCCTAGAACTGGCACCCTGAGTTCAGACTTCTAGCCTCTTAAACTGAGAGAAAACAAATACTTGTTTGTTAACGCCACCCATGTATGGTATTTCTGTTACAGCAGCCCTAGGTGACTAAGATAGTTGGACAGCAGGAACCCGTCAGTTGGAGGAACCTCTGCAGCACGTCAAGAATTTGTCGTCCTCTACCACGTGTTTCCGTCGGCCCCTCCCCAGCTCTGGATTGTTTGGTTTCATTTGCAGGACTTGGAATTCTGTGTTTGTGTATGTGT